GGTGGTTACAGGAGGGAGAGAGTGTCCCAGCAGAGGCAAGAAAGAAACTGGAGACAAGGGCAGGCAGACAGGCCAGTACGGCTGGAAGTCCTCTGTGTGAAGCAGACACCCAACACTCAAAAGCTCTCAGCAGCTAAGGGAGCAAGTGGGGCAGGATAGGAGTCAGTTCAGGCTCATCACGCAGCGCCTGGACCACAGGAAGCACACGGTTCTGACCCTTCTCCTCTTGGTTTTCTGTGCAGGAGGCAAACTAAGAGCATCTCAGCCCAGAGCCGTGTGGTGGCCTTCACAGCATATCCTCAACCAATCTTATCAAGTTGGTACATCCTCACTACCAGAGAATCCCGCTGCCCACTGTGCCAGCCGACAGCAGCCCCCAGGCAGCTCACCTTGGAATTCCCCTCTGCACCAAGCACCCTTCCCCCTCCTGGGCACGGCATCCCTGCAGCTTTTCTTCGCTGGGTTTGCCACCCTGATTGCTGTAGCAGCAACCCCCAGCCTGGGCAAAGTCTTACAGAAGGCTCGATTCAAGAAGGGGCCTCAGAAGCCCTGACACCCACAGCCAGGCTGCCACCTTCTTCCCCTCCCCCACCTCAGCCCTAAATAGTCTCTCCCTGGGTTGCTCAGAAAAAGAGATGGACGAAAAGCCAAGGAAACAGAATACCCTTCCCAGGGATAAGGAGAGAGAAACTCTTCTTGCGTCTAACTCTGTCTGATCCCTGTTTCATTTCTACTCCATTGGCAAAAAAGCCTCGTAGCGTGACAGCTAAGCACTCAGGGGCTGACCAATAGGTTGGCAGTTCAAATCTATCAGCTGCTCCAACGGAGAAAGATGTGGCAGTTGGCTTCCTTAACATTCCTGTCTTGAAAATTCTGTGCCTGTTCTAGACTGTCCTATAAGGTCATAACGAGTAGAACGAACCCAATGACAGTGGCGTTTGGTTTGGCAAAAGGACTATATTAAGTCCTAGACTACAGAGGGTTACTGCCATCACCACCAAGCTAGCACCTTGCCTTCCAACTAGGATGGCCTCAAATGGGGTTTATGATGTCAAGTCTTCATGGTCCTCAATTTATGGGGTCCATGAACCCCAAAGACTGAGCACCACAATATGAGTGACTGGATTTACAAGCATTTTTCTGGGGAAAACTGCTCATGTTTCCAAGAAGATTTCTGACTTCAAAGATTTGGAACCACTGGCCAAGGGCAGAAGCCCAGATGACCTGGTCAGGACCTAGGGAAGGGAACACCGAGGGCTTCGGTGGCTCACAACATGCCATCGGCCCACTGACAGCTCAGCAGAGCCTCTCACCACCACAGTGACCACAGTTGGGCAATTTGTATGACGTGGTGATTAGCAACAGGATTTTCACTGTCTAGGGAAGAAAAACGAGATCCTGAGTAGACTCATAATCCAAGCAGGGCTCCAACATAGAAAGGACTGGAGGAGGTAATGCAACATGGCAATAGAAGGGAGCACATGTTAGGGACCAGCAGTAGGAAATTGGTTTGGGTTAGTCCTTGGACCTGCAGATCATTCCCACCCAGAGCAGACACACAAGCTAGCTGTCAATGAGTTGACTTATGGGGATCCCATGTATGTAGAGCAGACCTGCACTTCATAGGATTTTTATGGCCGTGACCTTTTGTGATGACCTGGCAGATGAACAGACCTGTCTTTTGAGGCACCTGTGGGTGAGTTGGAACTTCCAAACCTTTGGTCAGAGGTTGAACATTGGCTGGGGCCCACCCAGGATGATTTCAGTGCCCTGCGGCTTCTACCCCACTGCTCTCTGGGAGCTCCAGGAGGCTCAGGCCAGGAGAGAATGAAGAATGAGAAGGGCCACTTTTTGTCTGTTGTTGACCTCAAGGTAGAGTTAAGAGTTCAGGCCCCACAACTGACATCTCACAGAGGAATTTTCCTACCAGGGCACATATCCACCCACACATCACCCCAAGACACCCACCCAAACAGACACTGGACATACATACACACGCATGAAGAAGACTCCCTGAGTTGGAACATGGAAGGCTGGATCAGCCATCTGAGAGAAAAACTAGCTACATCCTCACTCAAAGGGCCTCACTCCCTGTTCTCTTCTCCTTGGAAAAGCAGGGCCATCTGGAGATTATGTTTTATTTGCTTCAGGTTCTCACCGCCAGGCCCTGCCTCCAGAGCATGGTGTGTGTAAAAGACAATACTCACCCAGGTCCACAGAGGCCAGACAGCCAAGGGCAGGAGCCCGGGGAACAAGATCACAAAGGATTACTGCCACCTGGCCTTCTCCCTTAACAAACTATAAATATAAGTTTCAAAAAGACAAATGTGGAGTTGGAGGGGTGAAAAAGCCAGACAAGCCTTTGGAGTCTGGAGGAGCCATGGGGGTAACCAAAAGATGGGGTAAAATGGAAGAGGAGTAAGTGACGAGAAACAGAAGCACAAGAAAAGACTATTTTTAGGCATGGCCAGGTTATGCTGGCCCCTCCAAACACAGCCCACAGTCCTTGGGAAAGGCACCCAGCCCTGCTCCTCCAGGGACAGAGCTGCCGGAAGCAGCCCATGACAGTGGGCCCTGAACGCCAAACCGCAAACTCAATCCATCATGGTTTGCTGGCGATTCTTTATTAAGCCAATTCTGCTGGATCAATGCTTCCTGCCCGTCAAATTGATGAATAAATCTTCAACTGGGCTGAGCAATGCTTGCAGGAGCTCCCAGGAAGGCTGAGGTGGGCGATAGGCAAGGGTTCCAGACAGAGGCTCAAGGGCCAGAGGTTGGGAGGCAAACTTTGGGGACTGAGGCTTGGGATAGTGGAGGTGAGGTTGGACTACACTGAGATGAATGGTGTTTTGTTTAACAAAACAAGCTTAGAAGACTTCACAAGGCCACTGCCTTTATGACCTTCTAAAGATGAGTGTTTTGAGTCGAGAGGCAGGAGAAGCGTGACCACTATTTTTCCTGACACATAAGGATGGCCTCTCTTGGGTTTCTTTCCATACACCCCACACAGCCCCAGCCAGCCCAAGACTGGGCGCAGAGGGCAACATGCCTGCTAGCTACCAGTCCCTGTTGCTCATTGTGCAAACCAAACTCTAAGCCCAGCCTATCACTTCCTGTTGCCTGGGTCAGTCTTTCTGCGTTCAAGCTCCCCATCCCCACCCCACTCTCAGCATGTCCTGGGGAGCCTGCAGTTAGTGGGAGATTTTGCAGCAGAGGGACTGCAGACCATCATGCCAGAGAGAGAGGACACAGGTAAGACCAGAAAGGGGGGAGAGGCTCCCATTAATGAAATCAACCCAGTATTAGCCCTTCACCACGTAAAGTCAGGAGAGTACGGAAGGGCAAAGCACATAGCCCAGGAGGAACTCAGGGAACCTACATGCAAGCTTTCAGGCAGGACAGCAGGGCCTCTCCACAATTCTAAGCGGTTGATATGGTGGCTCCTGGGATAGCTTGTCTGCCACTACTACTAGGGATCTCAGATGGCAGGAGGAAGCTCAGGATACCCAGGCTGGGAGCAGGGGAGGCATGGCTTCTACAGCGTTCTAACTCAGGACGGGGTCCTCAAGACCCTGCAGTCAGCCAGAAGGGAGGCCATCACCGTCCAGCAAGCTGATTCTAGGAACCTAGCCACAGGTCCTGATGGGAGGGTCCTGCATTTGGTCTCATCTGCTTGAAGTCTATTTAGCCTGTCCTCTTGCCTCTCATGCCTCCTGGGAATGCAGGACATTAGGGTTAGGAAGAACAGTCCCTTAAATAAAAGATCTCTCTGTTCACCACCTATTTTAAGCCATTGGGTGTTACCTGACTGGTCATTCCCAGCACGAGAAATCTCTCTCATTGGATAGAAAATGTCTTTGCTCTCATTACAAATCCAGCTTCCCTGGAGTTTGCAAAGAGGGCTCTGGGTTGGCAAAATATTCATTAATACAGGCAGGCAATTGGGGTAGGCAGGAAGGAGAATGAGAGAGGGGGCAGGGCCCAAAGGGAGAGAATGAATGGGAATGAAACCCACCTCAGAAAGGTGGAAGCTTTCCAGATCCTCCACTCAACCTGGTATATCAGGATAACCCTTAGGGGGACCATGGGTCTCAGAACCCTGACTTTAGATACACGCATCCCTGATCCCATATCTGACAACCAGCAATCCCTCTTTCTATGTATACATTCACTCAGGTCTCAAGTCAAGCCTTATCAGTAGTTACGTGATGGGGGATAGGGGACAGGAGACAGAGTGAGTTCCTCTCCCTGGCTGGCAATCACACCTTTTGTGTAAAGATCGAGGACTGACCCAAGGACATTTACCAGTTTATTTGCACTGGGCCTTTAGAGTAGGGTGGGGTCCCAGATAAGCTTGAGGGTCAAAGGACAGATATCTGTCAGGACACCAAATATCTTCTCTGACCACAACCAGCAAGGTCATTCTTCCTTGCCAATCTGGATGCCAGCTGCCCAGGATGCCCACTCCTGGTCAACCAGTAAGAATGAGGGGCTGGGCCTAGGGTTAAGGTGAGTGCAGGGTGTTATCGTACTGAGCCCAAGGCCCAGTGACCCCAATCCTCTCTGACCCAGCCCTTTTTCTGCCTGCAGCTTCCCAGGTCAGCAACATATTGCCTGGGGTCAGCGCTGGTCTGCCTCCCTCTGGCCATGCTCTGCAGGATGACCACCCTCACTCTGCAGCCTTGGTGGGGGAGCTGGGAATGTGTGGCTTAAGGTGACAGAGCCCTATCCCATGAACAGGCTGGGCTAGTCCAGGCTCACAGCACCCTTTCTGCCCACTTCTAACAGGGGCCCAGAGCAGCGGAGAGGATGGCAGCTCTAACAATGGAAAGTTCAAAAACGTGCGGGGGGAAGGAGGTCTGGAGGTGTTTAAGAGCCTTAGGGTTCCCGGGTCTCTCTGAACTCAAAGCTTGAGGAAAGTTAACTCCAGCGGGGAGGCAGGACCTGGAGAAGCATGGAGACAGCTCAGGGGACCCATAGGATACAACCAAGCCCCTTACCTGAAGTCGCTGTAGGGGTGGATAATCCAAAACCCAGCCGACTTAACCCTTTCCTGCTCGCGCTCCACGGCTTTCTGACTGCCGAACATCCTCAAAGAGAATTTGTTGACTCCGGGCTGGAGCATGGCCCCAAACTGGCGCTGCATGAAGCCGGCCTGGCCCAGGCGCACCTCCGCCTCGGGAAGGATCTGGTCGCCAGCGGCCGCGCCTCCCTCCACTTTGATAGCGGTGTCCGCCGAGGGCTGCTCGAAGGAGGCAGAGGCCGGCTGCGGCGACTGCTGGGGAGGCGGTGGCGAGGCTGCGGGTTGCGCTGAGGCGCCAGGGCGCTCGGGTTCAGCCGCCAGGCCCGGGGGCGTCCTGTCCTCGCCGGGGGACGCATCGCCCTCAGCTATGAGCCGCCGCTCCTCCGCAGAGTCATGCAGGTGCCCGTGGCTGCTGCTGCCCCCCGCTCCGGCGCCGCTGCCACCTCGGCTGCCCAGCGAGGCCAGGCTCCCGCGGAATCGCCTGCAGTCGCCGTTCGTGCTGGACTTGCCCGTGCCGCGGGCGGGCCCCTCGCCGTCCGCCGCCCCGAGGGCCGCGCCCCGGGGCTCCGTGCCGCTCGCAGCAGCCGAGGGTGAGGGTGAGGGCAGCGGCCGCAGCCGGATGCTTCTACGGCTGGGGTCCTGGCGGCCCCCAGACCCCTCCTCCTCGGCGTCCTCTTCCTCGTCCATGATCCACGCCTTTGCCCCCACCTGCTGCGGAAGGCTGTACAGCCGCTTGCGCATGGACGGCGGCAGCTTGTCCATGGTGCCAAGGGCTGAGGCCAGGCCAGGGACCAGGGCGCGGATGCGGCGCTGAGGACCTGCTCCAGGTCCGCCCGCCGGTCAGTCCGCCCGCGGGGACGCGTCCTTCGCCGCCGGCGCGGGGCTGCCTCAGGCGCCCATGCTTAGCCAGGCTGCGCGCGGCCGGGAGGCTCCCAGTCGGGCTCCGGGTCCCCGGCTCGAAGCGCTGCGCCCCCTCCTGGGCCCGGCTGGGCGCGGGGACCCCGCGAAGCCTCCCTCCCGCGTTCAGGGGCGCGGCGCGCGGCCCGGCTCCAGGCGCCCCGCCCCCGCGGGGAACAATGAGCGCTGGGCAGGAGCGGCTCTGCGGCCGTGGCGCACGGGAGCAGCTCGGGAGCGCAGAGCGCACTGCACGCGCACCTCCGGGCGTGCGTCCGGCGAGCTGGTGGGCTGTCAGTCTGTCCAGATGCCCAGACTTTGTGGCCCGCCGGCCGTTCGGGAGCTTTCCTCGCCTCCTCTGGAGGAGCCCTGCCGCGCCGTCCTGGGGCTCCCGCCGCAGCCTAGCAGAGCCCAACGGCCCGCCAGGTTGACATCAGCGGCCGCCTCCCCCCGAGCGCCCTCCGGCAGCGCTCGGGCTCCCGCGCCCCGGAATATTCATGAAGCCGCCGCAGCTCGCGGGTTGCCATAGGAGCGGTTCCCGCAGCCGGGCCTGCCTACCTGGGCTTCTTAAAGGGGCAGTGGCGCAAGGGCTTGGAGCTGGGAGGGGGTAAGGGGCGGGCCCAGAGAGGGGTGCAGGGCAGACTCTCACTGGACCTTAAGGGTTGGGGCGAGAGACGTCCTTACACGGGCACTCACAATACCTTTCCTTGGCCAAGGGCTTGGAGCGCGCCCTAAAACTATGACTCCGGTTTGGTGGTGAATTTGTCACCCTGAGATTAGGGGGCGGGGTCCCCGGTCTCTCCTCTACGCGCTGAGCTGCCCTTTCCTGGAGATTTAGCTCCTCTGCTGTGTTTTCCACCCTCGCAGAGGGTGGCATGCAGGTCCTCTGAAAGTGGAGCCCCAGGCCTTCCCCACGCCCCGCCTGGAGAGGGGGTTTCCGGGAAATACGATGCGTCTGGGCTCTTCCTAGGGCTTTCCTGCGATAAGGGCAGTGGGCAAACCGCCGCTGGTCTTTCCCTTGCGGAGCTTCGCGGCGGCAAGGCGAGAAGGGCGCGGGGGAAACTCGGGGAGGCACAGGGCGCGCGGGTGGGACCCAGCCCTTCGAGGTAAGACTTCGAGGAAATGCGCCGGCGGCGGTCACGGACGCGGGATCAGAACGCTGGATCCCCGCGTGCACCTTTCCTAGGGCGGTTCGGACGGGTGGTTCCTAGCGAGCTGCCATTTGGAGCTGGAGGGCGGGCTCCTCTGGTGACCTGGTACCCTGGAACAGGCTTTGGACCTCCTTATCCCTGGGTTCCCATCCAAATTGTGGCATGCCTGATGTCGACAAATGTTCCTGCTCCAGCCTGGCTTCCACATAACAGATGCACAGCCCCCATCCCACTTGAACCCCACCCTCTAGAGGTGAGCCAGCCGTGCGCCTCTCTCCCCATATACACTCTCTGGGTTTGTGAACTTCGGTCTGCCCGGCCACAGCTCTCCGATCTCCAACACTCAAGGACAGCCTGACCCTCCCCTTGACGCACTGGCTGTTCTGCCAGACCCTCTCTCCCAGCCCTGGAGCAGTTCGGGTGGCTTGTAGGAGATCTTAGGGGAAAACGCCTCTAGGCTTATCCCCAGAGTGTAGAGGGAGAGTCAGTGAGGAAATGAAAAGGTAGGGGTTGATCTGTGGAGTCTGGGAGAATGCAGAAGTAGATTCTCAGTCCTGTCAGACTAGTAAGGCAGAAGACCCCCTAGATCTGCCATCTCTGTGAGATATAATACGTTTCTTTTATTCTTTAGGAGAATTTTTTTTTTAATTTTATTCTCATTCTTAACCCACTCTTATCTGCTACCTTCACTACCTTCACTGTGATCAGGGCCAAGAATGTCATCTTGAGAGCAGGACTGGTTGGCAAAGGCCAGCCTGTTGGGGGTTTTCCGCTCTACTCACTGAACTACAGGGCCTCCCATTAGGAGGGGATGACTAGGGTGGTGATGTCATTGGGAGCTGGCAGTTCTACTTTTGAGGAGCACCGAGCTGACACTTCGTCTGCACTGATGCTGGAGGCCTAGTACCTGAATGTCCTTGGCTCTCCTTGAGGAGTGAGTGTTCTTAACCGGCTGAGAGCCCTGCCTGTCTGGCGTGCTCACCACCGGGGGGCAGGCCTCTTCACAACAGCTTCAGGAAGTCAGCGCAAACCTGCTTCCCAGTGACTCTTAGTGAACGCATCTCCTCTTTCAGGAAACCTTTCCTGGCCCCTCAAGTCCTGATAACATCCGTTTTGGTTCTCACAGCCAGTAAGCTGCCAGCAGCCCCAGCATTAACTACCTCATGTAGTGCATTTCTGACTCTGGGACACCTTCCAGACTGGTTCTTCCAAGGGGAGGGTAGGGGTAGGTTGGACACAACTTAAGAACCTGCACCAGGGTGAGCTACTAACAGATTAGTAAATATCAACCCTGCAAATGAGGGAGCTTGGAAGTTAGCTAGTGATACCGAGTTGCTGCTGCTGTTACGTGCTGTGGAAGTTGCAACCAACTCTTAGCTGGCCTTCCAGTGGATTTTCAGAAGCAGGAAATTGCAAGGAAGGAGATTGTCTATCTTTTTTCCCCCTCAGAGCAGCCAGTGGATCTGAACTGCTTACCTTTGGGTTAGCAGTGCAAGTCCTTACCGATAAACCATCAAAGGATCTTTAGAGATGAAGGGGAGATAACAGTCTGCCTCAAGGAATTTTCCTGCCATAGCAGCAAAGTGGTCATGACTTCCTTCCTTCCTTCCTTCCTTCCTTCCTTCCTTCCTTCCTTCCTTCCTTCCT